GTCTTAATTAGCGGATAATTGCTCATGGGTTACAGCCACATCACATCTAAGCTTAGCAATTCTATCGACTTAATTTCTTATTTGAAAAACAAAATTTCCTTATTTCCTAATTAATTGGTGAGATAGATTTTACCCAGAATACTGTGTGCTTACTTATTATTACTTTGAGATAAAACTTATAAAGTAACTGAAATTGGTATTTATGTTAACTGATCTATTTGGAATATAATACTTATTGATAGGAATTTATAGATTTTATAAACCAGAAGATAATCTAGATGATGATTTCATTTATGATGAGCTAGCAAAGTGTCTGAATAATTGTTAAAAGATCGGATAAAATTATTTATTGCTAAAGTTTTTAAAAAGGACACGGAAAAGAAATTCGCATTCAGCTCATGATCATTCATTATTAGCTCAGCTTAGGCGCTTTAATAAAAATTAGAACGTATAAATTCGAAAAAAAATCCTGTAAAGCTAGACATTTTGATATTTTGGCTAGTGTTTCTACAAAGTCGTTGAGCTATCTTTATTTCTTGCAATGAGGGGCTTTGTATACCTCAAAGGGAAGTTCATATCTCTTCGAAAGAAGGAGTAAGAGTGGCGTTCTTTTGCAGCAATACTAAGGCTTAATTCATGGAATCAGGCCATCAAGTATAACTTTGAGAACCAAGAATGTAGCGGTAGACTAATTATACCAATGAAATGATATGATTATTCTAGGTCCCTCAAGTTGACTTTTATCATCATTTTAGAGAGTTATATTTTGATTTATTTTATGGTTTCTTTACTGTGGAACCTGACTACATGCGAACCGTCTGAAGACATGTTGGCACGATGTTTGAGCAATAAATGATTAATGTAGTATACAATCGGCACATGGTAACTTTTTGGAAGTCTCTTGATCAATAAGGTTTGTGAATAAGATTAGATCAAGTCATGCCATTTTAAGCCGTCTATTAATAGATTGCTTCTGACTAGTCGCTCTTATTGATTTTTATTTAGCAGGTTGATGTATTTTGAATGCTGCCTTGTTGCGAAGGTGCTTACCACATAACTGATAAAATCTTTTAAGTATTGTTTCAAGACTACCAGTAAATCAGTAATATGGAGGATGTATTCACCCAATTTTGTTTAAGGTGATGAAGGACTGATAGAAAAATTTTCCCATAATGATGAGTAGAGCTGACGTTTCCTTTTAATTTCACATAACCTTGGTTTATCAAAAGTTGTTTTGCTCCAGAGTTGACTGCAGTTTCGATCTCGCATTGGTCTTATTAACATCCTCAGCGGTAGTCGAACCGGGCACTAGTGGCAATGTGACCGACTGGTTAACGTGTCAAGCTCCCATTCTGCACCTTCACAGTTCCACTCCTGCTGGGGGTGTTGATAAGACTGATGCGAGGTCGAAGCTGCAATCCACCCCGTATGAGAACAACTTTTGTGAAAGCAAAGCTATGTGAAATTTAATGGAAACGTTGTGTCTATTCATATCATTGTGGGAAAATTGTTTTACCAGTCCTTTATCACCTTAAACGAAATTGGATGTATACATCTCATATTACTGATAAAATCTTGACTACTTCTCTAAAGACAGAACACTATTTAGATTTAATTGCTGTATTCACCTTATTTTTTAAGGTGATGAAGGACTGGTAGTTCAATTTTCCCAAATTGATATGAATAGGCCTTACATTTCCAGCTAATGTCACATAGTAGTTAACGTGTCGAGATTATAAGCCTCATTATTACGGTTCAAGTTCCGCTGACTGTTCTGAGATTCAGACGAAGTCGAAACTGCAATCCTTGGGTGATAAATGCCTTTGGGAAGCATGGCTGCGCGAAATTTAAGAAAAACGTAAGGCCCACCTGGGAAAATTCAAGTATCAGTCCTTCACTTTAAGCAATGTAGGGTGAATATAGGTATAATCAGATCTACTGGTAATCTCAAAAAATCTACTTATGATACTATTCTAATGACTCGAGTGTTAAATTTCTACCATAAAAAAATGCATAGACGTATGGCCATATTTTGCTATGCTTTATATTCTGATTCCCGGACGGATCCTGTAATACAAATACAAATGACTTAAGTAACTTTGCTTACCTTGGTGACGTTTTTTGCTCCCTGGATGCTGGGTCTTTCTCGTTTTGCTTTTGTATCATTCGCTATTCTCGCATGGCCATTTTCTCGGATGAAAACTCTTTATTTGACTCAGTCCCGTTGACGGAGTACCTCGTATATTTTTAGGGCACTGCTCTTATCCTTTATTTGCTTTAAATTCTGAATTATTGGAAATGTTGAGCTTCTACTTTTAAGCTTTCTTTCTACTTTTCATATTTAAATAAGGCAATGCGTCCTGTTTTATGCGAGGCCCTGCCCACGAGACACGAGTTGGGAGAGCTCTCCAAACCCTCTGTGAAGCCTGCTACATCAGTTGATCTCCAGTCACAAACCGAAAGATCTAATGATCCTCTTCTTTTGCTCCCCAGCAGTGGCACCATGCGAAATAAACAGACGAAAGCTGGGACTCCTTTCACTATCCTTGAAGGGTCCACTGCTTCCTGTTCCTCTACTGACACCAAGTGTAATATCAGTGCTAGCATTACAACTAACAGCTCTGCTGTAAGTAGTTTGCCCGAGATCGCTGTAACAACCACCACTAATAGCAACAATGCCAATAACCTAGCCAGCGTCTTTTCACCTCCCGGACCTGAGATTAATCAGTCTAATTCTGCCATTTTGAAAAGCGGTTCCTTGGCTCGCTGTCTTAGCCAGATTGAGGGCGTGAACAGTTTCCCGGGTCAGGCGCCTTATGCTGCTAGCTGCAGCATCTCCGGTCACACCAGTCTAGGAATGTTCAAACAAATGAATGCCATCAGCACTGGAGGCATATGCTCTGGCACTAGTTCTAGTGCCATTTACAGCGTCGGCGGAAAGCCAACAACGACTGGTCCGAACAATTCTGCTTTGTCTGATCTTTCTAAGATATTGGTAGTTTCCGAGCATCTTCATCATCAACAACAGAAACAGCAACAACTTATGAAACGTAACACTTCTAGCATTAAAACAACCACGGCATCGACAAAGACTGCGCCAACTACGGCTCTAAGTAATGTCAGCCTTACACCTCAGACAAGCTCGATGCCTGGAGTTTCATGTCCGCAATCTGACGCCACAAGTGATCCGGTTATCATGAGTAGTGGGGGGGGAGTTTATATTCATCCTCATTCTTACGCATCGTCTAAAGCCAAAACAATGACATCAAGTGCGACGGATACTTCAAGACGGGTGATGGGTACTGGAGCAGAGAGAATTAGGGCCGAAGAGACGGCTCATCTAGCTGGGCGAGCACACGCCTTGATCGCGGCTAACCAACCAGTGGCAGCCCTTGAGTTGGTTAGTGTTAATTTAACTAATTCCTTTGATCACTATACTTTTTATCGATAGACAACTAGTCCAAATTCTTATTTTTGCTGATTTAAGTAAATGATCATCATAAGTGAACGGATTTAAACTGAATTTCCTTGCGTGTGAGGAATTATTTTTCTTCACTAAGCTTCAAAGAGTAATAGCATTACTTGATTATATACTATGCATCTTGGGATTGTTAATAATGTTGGGTTAACTCGAAGACAGCTTAGGAGATTAACTAACTGCATCTCATTTACAATATTCTTCTATTCATTTTTCTTTTCGCTTATTAATCATTAAGAAATATTACAACATTTTACTTTTTAATGGGTTGGCTTTATATGTTTGATATTCCACCATATATAGACCTCAATTATTTCATATCGCATATGGTTTCTTAAGGATGCAAAACAACCATGCATGAAAATTTCTCATTCCTTAGGACGAGCTAGACGTTAAGGTTCTGCCTCATATATTTGCATCTGATATTGCCTTTACTGTTGACGTCGATTTCTCTTTAGTAGATTTATTTGTTGATTTTATACATCGATCATCCTTCTCATGATAGTTATCTTTGGTATAGAAAAAGAGTCAGTATTGTATTAATTCGCTTTTTGTTTGGACGTATGTTTTCTCTGGGCAATCGTCCAACTGATACTTCCTGCTTACTGATTGAATATCTTTTAGTACAGGCTTTACATTTACATAGTTTCCTCGCTTTCATCTTCAACTTGCAATTGCTTTTACAAACTGCGTAAATACCTCAACTATCTCGTTATCTTAGTCTCACCGCGTGACTACTACTTCCATTTCATTCGTTGACGAATACTTTGGATTGGAGTTGTATTCACCTTAGCTTTGCCATTCTCCGCACCAAGATACGAACTCGTCTCTTTGACGAGTAGTCATAATCGAATTCTTGTTAAGTAAATGGAAGAATCTGAAGGATCAGTAAAGCCCAAACAATCCTCATATTGAAGATGTTGTGGCCTCTGTTATGGTCGCAGTCTCTTTGACGAGTTCGTATCTTGGTGCGAGAATGGCAAAGCTCACTGATGATGCTGACTACGATGCTGGCGAAACT